GTGTGGGAGTCATTCGTCTGGAAGGGCTATGGCTTTTAAAATAAAAAGAATGGGCTATTATTGGCCCACTATGATCACGGATTGTGTCAAGTTCGCCCAAAGATGTAAACGTTGTCAACTTCATGCACCATTGATCCATTAACCTTCGGAATTATTCTCCTCCATCTCTGCCCCGTACCCATTTATGAGGTGGTCGATGGATATCATTGGACCATTGCACAGATCAACTCGAGGAGTACAATACCTGTTGGTCTTGACGGTCTATTTTTCGAAATGGATTGAAGCTGAAGCATATGCTAGCATTAAAGATTCGGCGGTGAATACTTTCATTTGGAAAAATATCATATGCCGACATGGGGTTCCATACGAGATAGTTACTGATAATGGACCACAATTCATTTCGCACGAGTTCGAAGCTTTTTGTTCGGAATGGGGAATCAAAGTCAGCTACTCTACTCCACGATATCCACAAGGAAATGGCCAAGCCGAGGCCGCGAACAAGACAATTCTGAGCAATCTCAAACAACGTTTGAATCACCTAAAGGGAGGATGGTATAATGAACTTCAACCCGTCCCTAGGCGACCTACTGGAGAAACTCCGTTCTCGCTGGTTTATGGCATGGAAGCAGTAGTCCCGGCTGAACTCAACGTACCTGGCCTTCGCCAAGCAGAGGCACCATTGAATGAAGAGGAAAATTCAGCAATGCTCGGTGACTCGCTATATACCATTAATGAAAGACGAGATCAAGCTTTGATTCAGATTCAAAATTACCAGCAAGCAGCAGCTCGATATTACAACTCCAAAGTCAAAAATAGGCCGTTCTTTGTAGGAGATTATGTGCTAAGAAGAGTCTTTGACAATAAAAAGGAAGAAGGCACATGGAAACTCGGCGTTAATTGGGAAGGACCTTACGTTATTACCGAAGTGGTTCGCAGTGGCGTTTATAGGTTGAAAGACTTAGAAGATAGACTTGGAATGTAATCAACCTAAAGAAGTTTTATGTTTAAGGGACACACGTTTTTACTATATACATGAACTACGGTGTGGCTTCATCCCGAAATGGGTACGTAGGCAGCTCGGAAACGAGTTCAGCTACTAATAAAAATTTATTTTATTTTGCCTTTAAAGGGAAAAGTTCGACTGTGCAAACGAACAAAGCAAATAAAGTTCGACTGGGCGAACATACAGAAACTGGAAACAAAGCGTTTATTCAAGCGAATAAGACAAAGTGTCGATCTTCAAACACTTAGGGAGCACTTCACGATGTACAGAACACTTGAACTCCTTGACCGGCGAGGTCAAGGATTGGCATCATGCAGTCCGGAATACGAGCGAAGTCAGAAATCCCGAGCTCAATCCATTCTCCGGATGAGAACCGAGGATGTGAAGATCTCGTGATATCGCAGTAGCCCTACGTTGCATTCGATGAATATTTCTCCGGAGTTTCTTCTTTTCCAGTGTTAGCTTCCTATGTTGTATCGCAAGTGCTTTGGTAAATGCCATTGCAATCTCTTGGTCTTTGTCCGGGAGATCCTTGATTAAGGCACACAGAGTTTGGATTGGAGATCTGAAGAAGCCGCAAGGAGGAGAGGGCCGCCTACTCGGCACATCGAAAACATCTTCATCTATCATCCCGACCCTGGAGAAATCGGGTATGGACTCCGAACACCGAAGGTTGAATTCCATTCCTACAAAAATAAAGAAAATGGTGAGGAATAAAGAGAAGTCGAAGCTATAATTTATAGGAGTATCATATCCCTAGTAGGTTGCGGTTTCCATCTTGGAATAGAGTGATTCGCGGAGAGATTTAAGCCCCTTAACCAAATCCTGCATTAACGACATATCTCCGAAAATATTTCAAGAAAAAGGAAAGTAATAAAAAAATTTCCATAAACAAAATGGGCCAAAGCCCATTACGAGTTTAAAAGTGAAAAAGATAAAAACAGAGTTCAAGACATTTATGGAAGGGGCTCAGGAATAGGCTCCTTCATCGCCGATTTAGATTTCGAAGTGGACGCCTCGCTCTTGCCATCCACTCCGGGTTCGTTCCGGACACGTTAGCAAGGATTGTCGTCCTCCTCCTCTTCGCTGTCAAGTGGAGCGACTTCGACCGGGGCATTCACGGGTCCCGGAACCTGACCTCTACCGCGGAGATACATCCGAAGCATCCTCGGGATCTCTGCGATTGAATCAAAGTTCCTCCACTCCCATTGAAAAGGGTCACTCTCCAGGGCCCTCACCTTCCTCTCCACTCGAGCGATGCGAGCCTCGAGTGTTTTCCTTTTAAGGCCTAACTGCTGCCTCTCATCGCACAAACGGCGATGCTTGTCGACAACCTGACATAGAAACAAGTAAATTAAAGAGAGGGGTAGAAAAGTTTGATCTAGAAAGATGGATACTAACCTTGTCCATGAAGTCATAAGCCTCTTTCTTTTCCCTCGAAGAGAAGTGAAACACAGCGTGAGGAAAGAGGACGCCGGCCGGCTCGAAACCATCGCCGGAAAAGAATAGTGGGCTGCTAGGATCGATGGGGGTTACGTTTTCGTTCTCCATTTTTGCTAAAATTAGTCGAGTAAATTTTTCAAATCCTTGAGGAAAATTCAGAGGCAGAGAAGCCCCTATTTATAATAGGTCTAGGGTTTATCTTGAAACCATAAATTCAATAATGGTAGCATGCCCGAGTGGTTAAAACTATTTTAGAAATAGAGAAAAGGCAGTTATTGCCTTAAAGACGTGCGGCTTTTCCTATTTCCAAGAAAGGGAAAGAGCAACCGTCACATTTAAAGCAAAAAGCCCATTAAGCACAAAAAGTTTTTGAGGCCCAAGCCCAACAAATTTACCGAGTTGACTAAACCCGAGGTGGGGAACTCGCATTAAGCCGAGCTCAGTTCTCGCACTCTAAGAGAAAGGTCTGATCAGCCTAAAAATCTCAAAAACACAGCCACAAGGCCAAAAAGTGTTAAAAAGCAGACTTTGCAAACCCGCGCATTGTTTTAACCAAACCCTCTAGGGATTATAACTTAAAAAAAAAGTTCAAAAGCCTCCTCAGGCAAATATCTTGTTCAAAAGAAAATAATAATAAAGCCTCCATAGGCGAAAGAACATCCAAACATAAAAGTTAAGTCTTTCAAATAAATAGGACAAGCCCCAATTCAAAGTGGACACAGCCACTACGGTTTAGCAGCCACCTCGGGCTCATTTCCAGATAGGGATGCTTTATCCGATTCCTTGGCCGGGGTCTGCTCAGAAGAAGTTCCTTGCTCACTCCCAACGACACCTTCACCTTCCGAGGTGACCACTGGTACAGCAGGAACCTCAGATGGGGCAGTACCTTCTGGTTCGCTTGAACCTGTGAATAATGATTTTAGTCAGCTAAAGAAACAAGACATGTAAACGGTGAATACCGAGAGAAGGATTTACCTGCCCAATCCAAACCCGATTTGCTCAGGGGAGGAGATTCAGTGAAGAACTCCTCGAACTATCGAGGATTGAAGGCCGAGGCAGGGAGAGCTGCAAGACGACTTCGCTTCTCAGCCAAGTTGGCCGGCAGTTCGGACCTCTCTTGCTCCTCGGAGAAACCCTCTTCATGAATTTGGTCTAGCAAGAGTAAATTGCTCTCGTACTCCTTGATATCCGAATCAGCTCCATCCCGCGTCCCTTGACCTCCTTTCTAGCCTTCGATGCTGACTTAGCCAATTCGGAATCCCTTAGTTTGACGACCGCTTTGTACTTTGCGTCAAGTTCGGCGAATTGGTTGGTCAGGGTATAAGCGGTCGATTCAGACTCGGTGAGTCTGCCTTGAACACCAGAAAGCTCATCCTAGAGTTGGTAATTCCGATTGTACTGGTCTTACAACTCGCATTTTATCGTCCCGAGCTCAGATGTGAGGCTATCAACTTGATCTTCCAGTTCGTGTTTGGAACCGATGGACGAGCTGAGGTCAGCCTCGAGAGTCGAAAGCTTGCTCTTCCACGAGTCAATCTCCTGTTGCCGACTAAGCAACAATCCCTCGTAATGTTCAACCATATCGTTGAGTTCGCTGTTTGCCTGACATTTCATACAAACACGAGATGGTAAGTCAGTATGAAGTGGGACTAACCCGAGACGAATGAAGTGGGACTAACCCGAGATGAATGATGCGCATGAAGTAAATAGCGTTCGCAAATTGCAGGACGCCACTTGTCAAAATCCGGCAGGATCGCACCCGATCGGGTTTTGACGTATCGGAAGACGCTACCTTCTTTCTTCATGGCTGTGAAGGCAGAAGAAGAAGAGTTATAGAATTTGTAATTTAAACAGGATGAAAGTGTGCATAAATCATCACCAGACCTGAAAGCGATTTGACCTGGGGACAAGAGCAGGCTTTGACTTCGAGGAGGCATCTCGAGACCCAGAACCTTCCTTTTGAGGAGCCACGCTCTGCTTCATCTTCTCGCCACTATGTTGGGAAGATGAAGACATGTCAACAGGAGGAGGACCCATTGGTTCAGTAGGAGGGGCCGATCAAGGGGAACGGTCAGTTTAGGCCCTTGACTTCTCCCTCCGCGGAGAGGAACCACTGCGAGATGGCCTGTCTCTCTTCTTGCGAATCAGATTCTTAAGTGGTTCGTTGCTAATATCATCTCGAGGAGGACGAGGAGAGTCACGATGAGGGGATCGGGTTCCCCGAGGGGAACGATCACCACGGCGTTCACGACGAGGTGTCAACCTGAAAGCACCGGCAGATCTGGCCCCTTCAGCGGTACCATCGTTAACCAGCAAAGTCCTAGTGTAGTCTTTCTTGTCAATAACGGTTGCAAGAAACTCTTTGTTCTCATCGCAAGCTTCGGTTATCGGCTTGGAAAGCGTCTTACGCTTAGCGGTGAGGGCCCGAGCTGACATTCCCTGAGTAGAAGGAGGAGGTGGGAGACGATGAAGTTGATCTGCGGGACTCATCCTGAGTTTGCGGTTGGCTTCTATAAATCGCTCCAGAGTGAAGGAATTCCAAAGGGTTTCCCCTTCAAGGATTATTTTGAAAACCTGATAAATTCTTCAGTTGGGAGAGTCGGAGCAATAAAAGCTGCGAAGTGAAACAACAAGTTTAATCAGTAAAAAACAGTAAAATGATCGAAAAAAGTATATGTGACCTAATTTCTAACAGGCCTCGCAGACCGCTTTGATGGGAGCACTTCGGAAAGATTTCCAATCGAAGCAGGAGTTTTCTTAATTAAAAACCAAGGATGATGCCAGCTCTCATCTTTGTTGGGAAGGTGCGAGATGAGATTTCTGCCGGCATTGGGGTACGTAGAAAAGTACCCAGTTTTCTTCGACGAACTCCTCACGCTAAGAAGCTCGTTCAATTCGGGGACCCCAATAACGTATCTGGCCTCCGCCGCAACAGTTATAATCCCAAGGATGGTGCGAAGGAGATTGCGGGTTAGTTGAGGCAAGGCAATCTCAAGGGCTGCTAAATACCGGACTAGGGCTTCAGGAAGAGGAAAGGTTAGCCCACAGCCCTTGAAATAGACTTCGTAGACACAAAAATAGCCGTCGCGATGATCTTCTGGAGATTCCATAGGACCGGGCAGCATCGATTCCGCCATGATTTCAGATGGAATCTGACAGAGATCTCTCAATTGATTAAGAGATTGAAGAGTACATGTAGACATGTAGTGGAGACCGGCGATATCATTCGGGCGAGTGCATTCGTCGTTACTGGAGCCTCTTTCAAAGGATGGAGATTCGGGTCTTTCAGAATCATAAGCCATTGGAGAAGATGAAAAATTCAAGATCTGGCGAAGAGAAATTTGGCGAAGAAAAGTAGAGAGAAGTTTTGAATAAAGCACAAGAGTAAAAGTAAAAAAATGATGATGAAAGAAGTTACCTTTACGCAAGCTATATGATGGAACCGCCTCGGAAGTTGTGTGGGAAGTGGGAAGGATTTTCCCGTTTTAATAGTAATTAATTGATATGCGGTCATAATGATGACATATGTCACTCGGTTAAAAATGGCTAGTGCCGAAATTAAAGGAGTGATGTGATTTTCGGCGGGAAATCAGAAGATTTTCGGGCACAATCTTTGATCATTACAGCATCAAAATCTTCCGAACTAAAGTAGCACTTCGGAAGACTTGGGGGGCTAATTATTGGTGTCGGATCCCACACGGGTGGTTCGGGACCAACCAAAGATTGACACATAGGCAGGATAGAAGCCCACAAAGGATAAGGCCCGTTAGACTCATAAGCCCAAGAACATGGTCGAAGTGATTGCACCTCGAGATAAGGGCGAAGTCGAAGTCAAGATTAGTTCGGTTCGGGACTTTTTGGGCTAAAGGGCGAAGCCCATGAAGTTCGGAGTTAAGTCAAATTCAAACGTTCGAACATTAAATTCGAAGACTATAACGGACACATTAAAGAGAGAATAATTGTATTTAATTGGGAGTTAAATGTATTCAATAGTATAAGTATGAGGGCCAAGAGCCATGTAAGGGACATACAATTTTTTCTAGCAAATATACTATAGCCATTTCCACAGCAATTAACAGCTTTTTATATATTGATCTTTGTCCTCAAGAATAATCTTCTCCACTAAATAAACAAGTATTTGAGTGTGTGAATCCGACGTCCACAATGGCGAATGCAATAGTGAAGGTATTTCCTGATACAAAGCATAGATTATGTGTTTGGCATATTTACCAAAATGCTGCAAAGAAGTTGAGTCATGTATTTCATGGAGCAGAACAATTTGCCATGGACTTTAGTAAGTGTGTATATGACCAGGAGGAAGAAGAAGAATGGTTATTAGCATGGAGTAATATGCTTGAGAAGCATAAATTGACGGAGGATAAATGGTTGAAGAATTTATTTGAGCTGAGAGAAAAATGGGCAATGGTATATGGCTGTCATACGTTTACAGCAGATATGGTTAGCACACACCGTAGTGAAAGTATGAACAATATTTTGAAAAAATACTTGAAGCATAGTTATAACTTGTTGTGCTTCTTTGAACACTATGAGAGAGTGTTGGAGGATCGACGATATAAAGAATTAGTTGCTGACTTCAATATGATGCATACTTCGCCGGTGTTGTGTGCTACTGTAGAGATGTTGCAACATACAGAGGAAGTGTATACACTAGAAGTTTTTAGCTTGTTCCAGAAGCAATACATAGTTATCGGTGATTATGTTGCCCAAAAGGTTAGTAAGTCAGAGATGGTGTATGAATACAATGTATCTTATCGTGGTGTAGCACGAGAGCATTTGGTTAATTATGATGCTGCAAATGAGACAATACATTGTGGTTGCATGAAGTTTTCTTTTGCTAGGATTTTATGTCGTCATGCATTGAAAGTGTTAGACAAGAAGAATGTTAGAAGAATTCCATCTACCTACATTCTAATCGATGGAGTAAAGAGGCAAAAGCACGAAACATATCTTATCATCATTCAGAGCCACCTAATGAAACAGTCAAGAAATCGAATGGAAAGCGATATAGCCATATATGTCGTACTTTCCGTGAGATTGCATCTGTTGCTGCTGATCATATAGAATTGTCGTTGTGTGCAAATGAAGATGTCATTCAGTTTCTTAAAAAATTGGAGGAAAAAAAAAGAACTTCTGAAAGCTAATGCATGGATGCTCCAAACTTCAGATGTTGAACTTGTGGAAGAAGAAGAAGAAGAAGACAAGGATGTTCCAAATGCACGTGGGGTAAAAAGAAAAAGCTCCTGTTGGACGACCAAAAAACCAAAAAGTCGGACCCCATGGTCGATTTTTGAGTGTTTTTGAAACGAAAAATCGCCCTACCACAAAACCATCAAGTAATGCTGTTGCAAAGAAAAAATTATCATTTCAGGTATTTGATATAATATTTTTCTTTTTAGTTTATATCTATTTTTCATCGAAATGTGACTTAATCTATCTATACTAATTATTATTTAAAATTGATAAATGCTTCAGGACTCCACTCCTACTCCAGATACTCAATTATTTGGTGCTACCACCAGCTCGACCTTACATAATGGGTCATTTATTTCACAAGTGTTCCAGGTAAATACTTCATTCTTGCTTTTAATATTTGAGCTATCTATTATTGTTTTTTAATAATTTGAAATCTTATATTTTATATTTTGTAGGAATTTGACAAGAGTTACGGTGGTTCATCATAAAGCTTTCTTGTAACGTCTCTTCACGCCTTATATCATTTTTTAGAAAGACTATGAATCTCTTAAGTAAAAAACGCACCGTTTATGGATTTGTATCACGTGACTTTTAGCTCCCAAAAACAACTTGAGATCCTTTATTACTAGTAACAATTTCTTATTGTCATGCTTTCAAATTTGCTCACATTTAAATAATTCTATAAAAATAAATAAAGAGACGTTAACGTCAAGTATTGACGCCCAACCTTAATACGTATAAAGAGTTTGTTTCCATATTTTGTTTTTCTGAATTAAATTTTAGTTAATTATTTTTGTTTAAATACAATCTTATATGACATAATCTTATTGGCTAATACAAAAGGAGGTGAACAAAGGGGTGAACCCAAGATTTGTCCATGAAAAATGTATCACATATAACATAGCAATATTGATGTTGTATTTATAAGAAAAACGGGAAATTCACATTTTTAACCTTCAAAGTGTCAGTGGGTAGCACTTTAAACCTCGAAAGAATTCCACTAACACTATAAACCATCAAAATAATTTTACTAACACTTTAAACCTCCAAACTAGCTTTCATTACATTGCCATAAAATATGATAGAATTAATTTAAATTAATATAAATTTATTTAATTTAATATAATTTTTAAATAATTTATTATTTATTAAGAATTTACGTTTATTAAGAAAAGTAAAAACAAAAAAGAGCAGATTCCTCTGATATGGAGAATACTTCGTTTTCTGACTAAACTTTGACATTCTTTGGTTTTTATTATTCTATTTAAGCTTCTATTGTACCTCATATTATAAATGTTTTACATGCAAATGGTCAAACCATCATCTTATTTAAAGTCATTTACAAATCTACCATCTATTTTACCATTAAAAACATGTTTTTATACCAAATCATATTTTACTGTTTCACTATGCTCTTTACCACCATCTATAAAATATTTCTATAAACACAGTAAGCCAACTATATATATATATATTTTTTTTTTGCGTCCAAGTATATATCTCTTTACTTTCACATTTGCATAGTTTCTTTACCACTAAAATTCTTGACACATAAAAAAATTTGAATGAAAAATGTATCACATATAACATAGCAATATTGATGTTGTATTTATAAGAAAAACGGGAAATTCACATTTTTAACCTTCCAAGTGTCTGTGGGTAGCACTTTAAACCTCGAAAGAATTCCACTAACACTATAAACCATCAAAATAATTTTACTAACACTTTAAACCTCCAAACTAGCTTTCATTACATTGCCATAAAATATGATAGAATTAATTTAAATTAATATAAATTTATTTAATTTAATAAAATTTTTAATTAATTTATTATTTATTATCAATTTGCGATTATTAAGAAACTAAAAAAAAAAAGCAGATTCCTCTGATACGGAGAATGCTTCGTTTTCTGACTAATATTTGACATTCTTTGGTTTTTATTATTCTATTTAGAGAAATTGTTAAAAATGTCCCTTTTTCAATACCCTTTTTCAAAAATGCCCCCTTTGAGAGTGCATTTTTAAGTTTGCCCTCTTTTAATTTTTAATGACCATTTTACCCTTATTTGAAACAAAATTAGGTCCACAAAATACAAAATATTTTTTGGCGGGAAAAGTGATCCCGCAATTTTCCCGCCAAAACACATGTAAAAACTTGTAAAACCTTTAAAATACCTTGTAAAATTTTTCCGCCAAAAATTTTTTTTTGCGGGAAAAGTGATTCCGCAATTTTTTTGGCGAAATTTTTTTGGTGGGAAAATTTTTGGCGGGAAAAATTTACAAGGTATTTTAAAGGTTTTATAGAGTATTTACAAGTGTTTTGTAAGGTTTTACAATGTATTTTAAAAGGTTTTACAAAGTACTTATAAGGTTTTATAAGGTATTTATAACTTGTAAAACCTTATAAAAAACTTGTAAAACCTTATAACTTGTAAAACCTTATAAACTAGCTTGTAAAATCTTATAATATCTTATAAATACCATATAAATACGTTGTAAAATCTTTTAAAATACATTGTAAAACCTTATAAATACCCTGTAAAAAACCTTTAAAATACCTTGTAAATTTTTCCGCCAAAAATTTAACGCCAAAAAAATTGCGGAATCACTTTTCCCGCAAAAAAAATTTTTTGGCGGGAAAATTTTTTTGGCGGTAAAAATTTTTACGAAAAAATTTTACAAGGTATTTTAAAGGTTTTACAAGTTTTTACAAAATCAAATTTTGATGTGTGCACATTCTCATGTTTTCCTTATATATTTGTGATATCTTTTATTAAAAAAGGGTAATTTAGTCATTTTGTACATAAAAAGGGGTATTTTTAAAAATGGATTGCCAAATGGTGCATTTTTGAAAAGGGGTATTGAAAATGGAGCATTTTTGTGAGTCTTCCTTCTATTTAAGCTTCTATTGTACCTCATATTATACATTATTTGGTTTCTATTATTATACTTTAAATTTCTCTTGTGCTTAAGTCTATAGTTTCAAAGCTTTAATTTTGAAATTTCATGGTCAACAAAAGGTGAAGTTGTTTTTTTTTCTTTGTCTTTTTTTAGATTTTTATTAATTTTAATATATAATAAAAATCATTTTAATTTCAATTAAATTAAATAAAT